AACCAATTAGTATAGAACAATAATTACTCTAGTAAATTCTAGTCTGGAGACTCCTGTTAGGTTTGTAAGGTAAAGTATTCAAAAATTGTTTTAAGTAGTATATTTTATAAGCTGAATAAATAGTTAAAGCAGAGGCAAATCATTAACACTGGTAATAAAAATTACTACAATTCTGTTCTGATAGCTTCCTGTAGTATAATCTATGCCAGCAAAACCCCACCCTTTTCGACGTGAAGTGCCCTCAATATGCAACATATTTTTAATTGTTTTTGGATTTTCTAAAATCTGAGAAAATAATCATAACTAAAATTTAAAAACAACTTGTTATATAAATTTCTTTGTCATTTTCCATTTGCGAGACCCCCCCCCCCAAACAAAACACACCAAATTACATGGCAAAGTTAATTAATGAATGAATATTTGCTGTAAAATTCTTATAAATGCTATAACTGTAGCTTACCAGTTTGGCTGCTAATTCTGAGTTTATTCCTTTAAGTCGCACACTCAATGCTTTTTTGGTCGCACCTTATTTTTCACACCAACAAATCACAGCAAATAAGAAAGTGACACATGATAGTAAACAATATTAACTCTAGGACTGCAACCCTATTATTCGGAACAGACCTACACTTTACAGAACCACCCAGATTCTTTACAATATATGGTGGTAATGTTTCCTCTACAACAGTGTTAATAACTTCCTTTATAGTAACACCGTGGAAACTAGATTAACAGTTTCTTGTCATCACCCACATGCATTCAGTACAGCCATATTAAGTATCATTATTTATGCTAATTGCTTAAACTAATATCACATGATGCTAATGCTCTTTAATTAGGAAAACTTCATAAGATTTAGTTAATTTGTGCTTAAAAATTGGCAATGAATAATAACAGTCCATGCGTATGATTTTTTGAAAACTTGAGAAACTGCTAATCTAGTTTGTTTGGCCTAATCAATACTTATGTATCTGTACACTCTTTCACACTATAGTTTTGCTGCTCTAAATCAGCTGTCTTTAATCTAAATGTCAAAAAACTAAAAACAAGTCTACGTTTACTCTTAAATGAAGCTTTAGTAAACATTTTAGATCAATTGCTCACATGACTTTTTGTGTAGGCGTGCACAAACATTTTGTTCAAAATTGAGTGGTTTTTATTGAATAACTTGTGTGGCTTGTATTTAGACCAAATTTGACACCTAATTAGGTTGTAAAGATCTGTCAGTGTATCAAATTTGAAAAGAAAAAAAAATTCATAAAAGTATGTTTTTAGTATTTGGTGCAAAGAAAACAAAAAGAAAGAACTCCAAACAAAATTGGAGATTTTATATCTTGTGTAATTCTCAATGGATTGTCTTGAAATTTGGTATGTAAAGTAAGAGTCCAGTAGAGTACATTTACTGAAAATACGTGATAGTTTGTATTACCACAGTCTGAGCTACAGAAAGTGGAAAAATTGCTAAACTATCACTTTGTTAATAACACATAGTGCATCCAGCAAGTTGTTTTGGCTGCATGACACACTATCGTGTGTCTTGATACCAAAATACCAATGAACGTCATTTTGAAATTATCCTTATGCACACATAAAATGCCTTTATACACAAGAATCATGTTACTTCGAAGATTTATCAGCATTTTATATCTAAAAATCACCAAGCACAACCCTAAGAAATTAAAGCATTTAGTAGTATAATAAGGGGGAAATTAAAACAAGTATATTATGAAAACCTATATTTTCAGTGTTAGCTATTGATCAAACCATCAAATATCCTCTGATACGCACAAATATATTATTATATGTGTGTGCTCCTTTTATAGGCTGAACTGTGCCCTTCAAAAAATTCTATAACCACATCTGACTGTGATGAAAACTTGAAATTTATTTCTAATTTGTCTTCTGTAGAAACGTATCAGGTTAGTTGTCATTTATAATTAGTCATTTCCTGAAATGATAGCTTGGTATATATAAAGCCTGAATGACCACTTTATTTGCTTGTATTTTGAACAAGTGCGAGTAGGCCCACTGGAAGTCTTCATTTCCAGACCTTACAGACTCTTAATCCAGCCCTGATTGTGAATGCAAGAACATATCTAAGTATTACCTGAATATTAATGCATTAGACAATTAAATCTGCTTTCACACTGTCATCACTTACTTTTCACAGCTGTAATTTTTTCACCAGTAAGTGTCCTCAAAATGTTATCTGCTTGATGTATGGTGTTACAGCAACATGTGACTTGTGCTGCTTGCTGAAATAGAAAAACCATTCCTCATACATACATTTGATTAAATACAGTTTGTTTGTTTTTTGCCCTCACTTGGCTTTTTACCTTTGGTAAGAATAGAATGAATAATTAGTTCTATGTTCAATTATAATTTGAATAGTTGTAAAGTTTTATAACATTTTAAATTAGTTTTTCATGATGTTAGAAAAACATGTAGGTTCAAGAAGTCTCGATAGAACTGAATAAAAACCCTATAAACTAAGGGCTTTCGAAAGGTGGACCTTTCTTCTCAGTTTGCCCCTGAAGAAGAAAGACCCACCTTTTGAAAGTGCTCGGGTTATAGGGTTTTTATTCATTTTAATTAGTGTTTTTCAATCATAACATGCTAAAGAACTAGAACAGTTTCAAAGAAACAGATAATGAAAATGATAATTTTTCTATTTTGGAAATGTGTAAATCTGAAAGTCAATTTCATCCATTGCTAAACAAATAATACAGTTAAGCACGAAATGACTTAAGCACGAATTAACTTTCAAGATTTTCTTGTTAATTACATAATTGAGGAAAACAAAGACATTTGTATATTTCACAAATATTTCATTTACTACTACCACGATATTAATAAATGAAGTAATTTTATTTTTTGATTAAAAATACTTTTATGTATCCGAACATTTTCAAATTTCACATGCAAAATCTTTATTACGTCTAGATAGTTAGCAAATGTTTCTTAAGAAAATTTTTATATTTTATCTGTTATTTTCACTAATGAATCTCTGTACGGGTTTGGTCGATTTGACCGATCTCATAACCACCATGAAAAATTAGGAAATAAATATAAATTATATCTTTTTCATTCTATAGTGACTACAAATTATAACATGAAAACATAAATGTGTATACTAAATAACTTAAATCTCATAACATTATACATTTATATATATATATTATTTTTATTATATTAACCTTTCAGCTGTGCCTGGCTAACAATACAGAAGTTACAATGATGTGGCGCACATGCACTCATCTAATCGTATCCAATAATATAAAACTGAACTTCAGTCTTTACAAAGTGACCTGTCTTGGCTGCATTTTAGTAGATTAGTGTTTTGTAAAATACAAACATAGAAGTAGAGCAAACAATTATCTCTTCTAGTTATAACCTTTGTGCTCGATTGCTGCTTGTTATAGGTTGCTGGGCCTTTATAAATTTTACATGTGGAGGATGTGAAACGAAATAATTTTTTTAAGGTTTTATATATACATTTGAAATAACCAAAAAAATCATAAATTACTATATCGATACCACAGAATTCCATTATAATTTATCAAGTGTAGTAATTAAGCTGTATTTGGATCTAAAAAATATGAAATTTTGACCAGACTAAAGACTCACCTTACCAGCTTGAAGATTTTTATCCAAAGAAGGAGATGATGTCATAATATTTGAAAATGGCCAAGAAAGCCACTAGGGGGACATTCTGAGCTTTCGATTGGTTATTCACGTCATAGACAGAAGTAAGAGTATATAAAGCAACGTTTCCAAAAATGGAAAGAGTGAGCGGAGTCACTGTATTTGATTCAGTACATGAGCGTAATCTCGGCAAATACAAAAGATGGGAGGTTCTCATTTTATATTCTAGCTTGTTAATATTAGTAATTTGAGTTCCTAATTCCTACAAAACTATAGACTTTGTATTGACGTCACAAACATCTAGTTTGAGCCAGTGCTGCATTCAACATACCACGTGATACACAAAAATAGATCTTTATGTGTTTTTTTTTAATATTTACTTTTAAATTAAGGTATAATACTAAAATTTGAATTATAATCTACTGTTTGATACCAAACTTATTGATATAACTTCATAAAATAGTAGTTCAATAAAATTTTGAACGTGAGTTAACAAACATAATGACATGGCCTTTGACCCATGTGCAAAAAGGGTTAAGAGAATTTTAGAAAACATGTTCTCTTTTAATTCTTCTTTGAGCTATTTAAATAAATTATTACTTTCTTACAAGCAACCAAACTTACAGACTTAGATGAGGCTCATTCACACAGTAGAGATGAGATTTTGAATGCATACTGCTGCTTAAATGTAGTTCATAGGTTTTATTTAATTGTATCTGCTGCTAAATTACAAGTTTTCAAATTATATATCAACAGCTGTGTACTTATAATACAAATTCCCCTATCCATCTGAAGACAAACAGCCAAATCTGAGGAAAATGAATTACTACAGTGATGGTTGAATTGACCAATAAAAAACTGGTACAATTTCATCAATCTTTGGCACCAATAAACTTATTTTTTCAAACCTTACATGACAAATGCCCTTGTGATGATATAAGTGGGAACAATCAAGAGGAAGACTGCAGTAACAAGCTTGTAGCATAGTGATGGCCACATTTGAGTACTAGACTATATCTTTTCATTCTACAAGACTGCCATCTCCAGCATAATCTTCATCTGCAGTTTACACATTTTTTTTATCTCATACTTTTGACCTCTATTTCTAAACACAAAGTCAACATAGATGATGATGAAAATCTACAGGAAAATTTCAAGTCAGCATTGTTTACTATAAACACTGCCCTCAGAAATACACTGAGTGGTCACAAGTAAACACACCTAATTTTT